ATATATGTATGTATATATCTTTAAGTAGTACTCACATACTGGGGAATATCTTTTAGCAGTGGGTCCCAAACTTTTCAGTTTTTGACCCACAAACTACCAGCAGCAGAGACCTGAGCTCCCAGCTGTTGTCAGTTGATAAACATTGTTTTTACGTCAAAAAAAAAACAAAAACAAGAGCATATAACATTATTTATTATGTTATTTTTTTGTCCATTTTAAGTATACTAATCTTATTATTTTGTAACAACATAGGCAAAAAAATGTTGGTTGGCATTTTTTAGTGTAATTGATTCAGAAAATATTTTCAAGACCCCACCTTGATGTTCCAGGACCCCACTGTGGGTCCCAACCCCATTTTTGGAAACCACTAGAGATAGAAAAAAAAAAAACACCTCGACAAAGAAAGTGATAGATTCTTAAGTTGCAAAAAAAAAGCCCATATTCGCTGGATAAGTGGACATTGTAAATTGTGCAGTTGTAAATTTTCAGACAGATTCAAGCATTCATAAAGGGTTCGGTTAAAAACCCACTGATGCAACAAAAACATGGGGACTGCGGTGGCCCCGAGGTCAGATTTGCGGCCCTGTACTCCTGAGGCTGCGAGTTCAAGCCCAGGTTGCGTTAAAAAGGGGGCATCCGGTGTAAAACAATTGCTAACTGCTTCATGCAAGCTCTTCCCCTCCGGTGACCCCTGCAAAGTGGAGCAGCCAACAGAACAACAAGAAAGTTCATTCATCTCATTTCATTTATTTCATTTATCTATGAGTCCTGGAATGACACATTTATTTGCCAGTGCAGCTCACCCCAGACCACCAGGGCTGAGCATTCCAGAAAATAAACTGTAGACACTTGGCTCTGTAACAGATGATAAAAGAGAAAAAAGAAAAAAAAAAGAAAAGAAAAGGTTGCGGGGGCAGAGCCGGAGGTTAAGGGGGGAGCTGGAGGTGGGCAGTGCACCTTGACAGGAAGCACAGAGGTGAAAAGCAGGAGTTGGAGGTTAGTTTGACAGAGAGAAAAGAAGTGGTGTTGGTGGTGAGGAGGGGGCT